GGAGAAGGGGAGCTTTTGACATCTATTCTGTGGTTACACCTGCTGGACTTGTGATGGCGTGAATGTGAGGATGAGGAGAGAATCCCTATCTACCCATGAAAGAACTAATCAGCCGAGGCAGGCATGTCAACAGACCTGCCAGTAGCTGACGGAACCTGAGATGCCTAGCTGACGAACAGGCAATGGGCGCTGGCAGAATGACAGTACAGCCGAGAGCCCGTGTCCCAAAGCAGAACTGTCCCGGTTCTGAACCCTGGCTCTGCCAGTCACTGGCTCTGCATCTCAGGCAAGTCATTTCTTCTCTCCGGGCCTCAGTTTCCTCACCTTCACAATAAGTACCTGCTTCAAAGGGGTGCTCTGAGAAATGAGATAATGCATTTATTTACTACAGCATCTAGCACATAGTAAGCCTTAGAAGTGCAGCTTAAAAAAAAGTCTAAGGGGCTTGCATGTAAATGAAGACAAGGACCTACTTTGCACACGATATGAGGGGGCCCCAAGCCCAATGAGTATGAGTTATTGAGTGTAAGGTATAAACGAGCAATAGTTTCCTGAAAAACGGACTTCACGTCACTCAGAATGGGATAAAAAGGGGCCAGGGATGCTATATACAGGGTTCCTGCTACAGGAGGCAGATGCTTCTCATTAAAGCCCTTTCTCTCACTAAGATTAACCGCTCCAAGACCCAGGAAGAGCATACACCAAAACCCACACCTTCCCATTCTCTTCCTAAGGTGCTGGAACAGGATGCGGAGGGAAGTGGAGTCCAAACCCCTGGGCTCTAGTCTGAGTGTCCCTGCTCCTCAGCCAGCCCAGTAATGCTGCGGGGCCAATACTGCCCGTGGTTAGCTCACTGGGTTGTGGAGATGACATAGCAGGTAAGTCAATGTGCTTCTATATATGATATGTTATACAACACTATATATAATATAAAAGCAATAGTGTTAAAATATTTACTTCACCAACGTACTTCACTTGGGGCCTTTCAGAATTAAACAGAGGATTCCTGACTTGACATTTTGTATTCCACCATCAAATTACTGTAGAGCTACATTTCAGGTGAAAGAGAGAGGGAGGAAGAAAGAGAATGTGGTGGGGGGAAGAGGGTGGTTTTAAAGTTTTTGTGAAGGGGCAAATCGCGATCATCAAAATTAACCTTGGCAATCCCTAAGGAGAGCAACAGGCTGTGCTGGCCCCACACAGCGTTTCCCCTCCATCACTGGGCAGGCTGCTGTCTCCTCAGCTGGGCAACCGTATGAAGCAGTTCTCTGGATTGCAAGGCTCATGTTGTACAAAAAGGCACTCAGTTACAACCGGCATAACAAGATGCTCACAGTGAGACACACGGGAATGAGACCGACCAAGACTACAGGTTCTCGTCTCTCATCTCCACCTCTCTCTGGGGAACACCCTCGAATGGAATGGAAGACTATTAACCTCCACTGCCCATATGGTTAAATTTTCATAAGCTGAATGTGTGCATGAGGCCATTGCAATGTATGCAAATTTAAAAATCACACCCAACCAGGGCTTACCCTGCTGGTACTCGGTTTCTGGTTATCTGGTAGGGAAGCCTGTGGGATGCGGGGTGAGAAGGACCTGGCAGCCAAGAGCCACTGTGTGAGGTCCTGCAATCCTGAACAAGGCAGGAGAAAGTCACCTGTCACAGCACGGGCATCTGGGGGGGGGGGATTCTAGTGGGCTCTTCCCAGTCCCACCCTCTAAGATCTATGCAGGAATCTCACCTTGCAGAACCAAGGGAGGTAGGAAGGTGTTAAAGGCAGGTGTGAAATCAGTGATCATAAAAAACTAAGTTCAGCCCTTACAGGAACTCAAAGGTTTCACAGCTGTTTCCTGGCAACCAGGGGTAGATTAATCAAGAGGCTTGGTCTAAACCTGACTAAGAAAGGCCTCAGGGCCCCTGACCACATCTCAAAGACTTCTCAGGGTTAGAAGGCAGAGGCCTGTACACTCCTTTCAGTTTAACCCAATTAAGATCTTCCTGCTTCCACTCTTAGCATTCTATGCCCCTTTCACTGCCTAAAGGCAACATGTTAAGACCTTGTCATTCCCCTCTTTTTAAGACTTTTCATTCATTCATTCATTCATTCATTCATTCATTCATTCATTCAACAAATACTTACTGAATGCCTACTTCATACCAGACACTTGCTCAATGGCTTCCCTTTACACTGAATAAAATCCAGAGCCCTCTCTCCAACTCATCATCCTTAACAAGCCTCCCTTGCACACTGAGGCCTTTCTCTGGTTCTCTCAACAGGCTCAGCTTGGTCCTGCCAGTGCCTCTGCCCTCACTGTCTCCTCCTCTCCTGCCTGTGACACATCCTGGAGGGTTGGCTCCTTCCATCGGTTCAAATGCCCCATCTTAGAGAAGCCTTCCCTGGCCACCTCTCCAGACCCTTTATCACATTACACAGTTTCCTTCATAGCACTGACTGCTATCTGAACTTCTTTCTTATTTACTCCTTTAGGGGCCTTCTCCCTGACTAGAAGCTCCTTGAGGACAGGTGCTATGTCCATTTTGTTCACTATTCACAATGGGACATAGCAGGCCCTCAATAAATACCTGTTGAATCAACAAAGTACTTTTGGAAAGCCCATCTTAGGGCACCTCAAAGCCCGTTCCAAGTTATCTAAACCCTGCCAAGTGCTCCTGTATTCCACTAGCCAGGAGCTGACACTGCTTTATCTGACCACCACTGCGTTTATGAAGCACTCCTCAGTTGGCAGGGCCTCAGGAAGTCAGAATTAAGTAGCTGTTGAACCGGATGGTAGGTAGCCAATCTCAAGTGACTGACAACAGGGCTGAGCTGCACCACCACCACAACGAAGCTGCTACGGGCACACTGCGCTCCCTCCACCGCCACCCGCAGGTCGTGGCAACCTGGCAGGGGTGTTATTCGGGCGCGAAGACTCCCACAGCAGTCTGGCCTGAGTCAGCCTCTCTCTTCTGTCTGTGGCAGTATCTCAGGAAATGAATGGACTCGGCTCAGTTCCAACTGAAACCAAAGTCTAGGAAATGAATGTGTGGTCCCCTGTATCCTCCAGGAAGATCCTGCTGCTTTACGCGTAAACGGCAGCTGTGGTAGCAGTCCGATCCCCTGCATCCATTTCATTTTATCCCCACCCAATATTCAGACAAGAACGGCTCCTGGGGATGGATGCCAGAGGAGCACCATCCCGGAAAGACATGGAGTCCCCTCACCCTGTTCACTTGAGGTCACCAGCTCTCTCCCAGTGGTGCTGCCACTGTGGCCTTTAAAGAGCCAGAGGATTTCAGTACCCAGGCTAGTGGCCCTGCCACTTCCTCCATCGCAGCTCACCCATCATCACCCCATCTGGGAGGACCTTCTTGACCAACTTCACTGCCAGCTTCCTCACCAAAGGGGGAAACTCACTCCCAAAGGCGGCACTTCCAGGATCTGAGCCTCTGGCCTCCTCGGCCCCTCCGGGGGGACCTTCCCCAGCCAGTCCTCACCCCGCCTCCTCAAACAAGGCCACCTGAGTCTGTCCCCATGTCCAGCTGCAGGGTGTGCAGTCTGAAACAGACCCTTCAGGATGTGATCCTCAGGCTCATCTTAAGGGCGTAAAGCAGGGAATCCAGCCTCAAAATAAGTGCTGCTGCCCTTCACCTCCTAGGGACTGGAAGAGCTCCCCCTCCCCCAAAGTGTAGCCCCGTCATTCCCTCGTGCCCATCCTGGAGAAGTGGGGCTTCACTCAGCTTCCCTGCCCCAAGCAGTCACCCAAGAATTCCCACTGCATCTGTTCCTCCCCAACACCCATCCAGCCAATGGGGACCTTCTGAGCTGAACCCACATATCTATCAACACGATCCAAAGGACTGGAAGGGAGTGCCAGTTTCCATAAAACAGACACTTCCCTCACCCAATAAGGGAGATTTTTCTTCTCTCAAAGAAACAGCTCTGAAACCTGACCTTTTCCCACTCTCATCCGCTGCATGGGGCTTCCCTCGGTTAACTCCCCCCCCCCAAACACCTCCAGGGCTCTCAATTCACCTGTTCTTCACCCACTATCTTAAGTTTCCACCAATTGCCCCATCGGAGCTTACCTCCTAAACCCTAACATCTGTGTCCTCAAACAGGGGCTGGGAATGATGGGATCATTTCACTATCGGCCGCCCCAACCAGCACCCTCAGGAACCCGAGCGATCCTTTTCCCCTTCTCACTTATCGTGTGGAGATGCCCTTACTCCCCGCAAATGTAGCCACCTCAAGACTCCCCTTTTCTAATCGACATCGGTTTTTCCGCAGCTAACCTCATCCCCCAAACTAACGCTGGAGCCGTGCCCAGAGCCAATGGGGGGTCCTCTCAGTCATTCCTTAGGATCCCGTTTCCTCCTCCCATCCATCCTGACGAGCTTTTCTGAAGTCCCCGCCAAACGGACATCGCAAGACTCCCCCCGCCCCCACCCGGACACACAGCATCCAGAAAAGGACTTCCATCAGCTTTGGGGCGCCTCCTCCTCTAGGGAACCCCTCGATCTCCACCAAAGAGCCGCCAGCCCCGATCTCCTCAGGAGTGCCTCAGGGAGCGCCCCTCGCCCGCTCCGGTCGCTCAGCGGCGCCCGGCCCTTCCTCACTGCGGGGCCCTCACACCGCCCGGGGGAGCCTCTGGGCCTTGCCGCGCCGCCCACAGGCCCCTCGGGCCCCCGCCCGTGCTTCCGGCCGCCGCCTGCTCCTCCTCCCACTCAGGCCCGCCGGGTCGCCGCCGCGGAGCCTGGCGGACGGAGGCAGCGCAGAGGCCCTGGTCCCGCTGCAAGGGCCTTTGCGGGTCCCCGACCCCCGGCCCGAGCCCACGCTCCTTCGGCCGGCAGGGCCCGGCGCCCCCGCTCACCCGAGCCCGTGGTGGCTGCCATCTTGCGTCGCTGTCGCTCGAAGGCCGGCCCCTTCTTCACCCCCCACCCGTCCTTGGGTCCTTCTGCGCAGGCGTGCGCGCAGGCGCAGATGCCATTGCTGACGCCTGCCGCGGACCACGCTATCCGACGCTGGGAAGGTTTTTTTTCTGCCTTTTTAGAGAGAGGAAATATTTGTTTGCGCGAGGGCCCAGCTATCTGCAAGTCTCTCCGGGCTTGGGTGCGAAGGAGGTATTGAGATGCTTGGTGAGAAGGGCAGGGGTGATCAGACTTGGGAGGGCGAGATAGTGAGAAAACGAGAAGAAAAGATAGCTGTAAAAAAGCGCTATTTCGCTTCCTGCATTTTCCTATTTTGTTGGATCCTCACCAGGTCGAGATTAATGTGAAACGCGAAGCTGAGCCGGGTTAAGCCATTTATCTAAACTCAGCTGTTAAGTGGCTAAGTCCGAATCTGAACCCAGGCCAGATCGGCTGGCTTCCAGGGTTGTTCGATGCTCGTGGGCCAGAGGAGGCGTGTAACCGGTCAACTAAATAACCTGAGGGGGCATTAAAGTGGCAGGGAAAGCATTCACTCACTCATTCACTCATCGATCGATTTGTTCATCCAAACAAATACTTAACTAAGCATCTACTATGGGCCTGGTGCTGTGCTAGGTGCTGGGGATGGAGGTGCATTCCTGAAGAGGCAAGTCCCTGCTTACGTTCTTGTCGGTGACTGAGAGCAAGTAAACAAATAGGAAAGAACATAATTGTGATAGGATAGAGAGTAAACCAGGGAAGGGGCTCCTAAGGTGGTCACATTTTAATGGAGACCGGAAGGATGTGAAGGAGGTAGAGGAAACAGTGTTTATAGACCCTGGGGACATATATTTGCGAATACATGTTCAATGCAAGGAGCAACTCCCCATTTACCATAAATGGTCTAAACAGCCCTTATATGGATGTGGAAACAGGCTGTGAGACATGAAGGGACTGCTTCAAGGTCACACAGCTACACACTGGCAGTGGAAGGACCAGAACTTTCAGTACCGAGGAATGAGAAAGCCGGAAGCCCTTTACCCAGCACGTCCAAGTCATCACCTTGTTCTGACAGCAATGCTTCCTGAGCATTTCTCATCTCCATCCACTTTTCTTCCTTAGGGTAGGCTGCCCGTGTCTCCTCCCACTTGGATGACCCCCGCAGCCTTCATTCTTGACCCCATGGTCCATGCTCCACATGGCAGCCAGAGTCTGCTCAAAAACTCATCAGGTAAAACTTTTCAGTAGCACCCCACTACCTTGGGATAAAAATACAGACTACAAATTGAGTGGCCATAGAATTATCCAACAAGGACAATTGTCAGATTGAAAGTGGGCCTAGTGGAATCTTGTCAGGGCAGCAAGCAGAAACCAGCATTCTCCAGGGCAAACCAGGATGCATGGCCACCCTACCCACAAGGCCCTGCACCTAGGGCTAGCAGTAGGATGGGGCCAGTGAGGTGTCTAAGGAGCCAAATTTAAGGAGGCTTTCACCTGGTGTCTCCCTAAAATTTGTACCCTCAACTTTCCCTGCTCCGTGGCACTACTTGCACCTCAGACTTGCTGTCCCTCTCCAGCTACACTGGCCCTTTTCAAGGCCTCTGGAACACATGTCCTCTCCCTCCTCAGGGCCTTTGACAGTGCTGTTCCCACTCATCAGAGCTCCCATATCCAGCATCGCCCTCTCAGGGAAGCTTTTCCTGATTTCTCCATCCAGGTCAAATTCAGCCGTAATTGATTTGCAAAGTGCCACGTGTGTCTCCTTCCCAGCACTGGCCACATGCAGTCATCTTGACATTATTCCATGTATCACATGATTCAAGTTTACCTTGAAGAGAACAGAAAATATTTGCCCTGGCCTTTGAGGCATTGTAAAGCATCAGGTAGCAACTGGGAAGCATTTGGGCTCCTAAGGTGGCCTCACCTCTAGAGTGAAATTTTCTGGGTTTGAGGCCGCCTTCACCAGTCACTTTGCTGTGTGACTTCAGGCAAGAGACTTGAACCCGGGCTGGCATTAGTTTCCCCTTCTGAAAAAAAGGATGATAGTATCAACCTCATAGGGTTGCTGTGGAAATAAAATGCTTTGATAAAACCCTTTGGCACAGAAGGAGGGTCGCTAGAAGAACTGACATTTATCAAGACATATCCAGCTTTTACTCCTCACAATTGAATGAGGCAACGCCTAGGTATAGCCCCCTTTTAGAGATGAGAAAACTGACTTTTTCAGCTAACGATGAGGAATAAAACACAAGCCTCTTATCCACGATGATAATAAATGTGTATTCGCATAGATTTCTTGGTAGTCGTACGAAATTTCTGGAAAGCGAGTAATATTTATCGACAATAAAGCGAATTCCTATGCAAAGCACCTCTCGGAAGGAATAGGGTAAGCAGGAAGTCTCCGGGCATTCTGGTTATTGTAGTCCAGAGTTGTCGCACAGCCTTCTGGGAGTTGTAGTCCTCCCCTCGCTCACACTTTCAGAGAAGCTCCACCCCCTCCCCAAGAGGTCACAGCCAGTCTCCAGTGCGGGATTTCTCAGGCGCGGCGGGGCTAGGTCCCCGCTCTGCTTGAGCCGTTTGCCTCAGCTGATGCAGATAACAGAGCTGTGTTTTATGAGATTGTTGGGAAGATTAAAATGGTTAATAGAACTAAAGAATTTAGAAAAGGGTTTGGCACAGAGCAAGTGCTATATAAGTATTACCTACCACTATTATTAATTCTCATTGACCCTTGCAAAGTGGCTATTATCATCTTCATTTGTCAGATGAGGGAACTGAGGCTAGAAGGAGTTAGATGACTTTCCTAGGGTCACACAACACGAAGGAGTAAAATCCAGTTTTGGAATCCAGTTCTCTTAACCCTGGGGCACCTGCTGTTTCCTCTGTGGTGAAGAAGCTGGAACCTGGGAGGTGTTAAGCAAAATGTGGGTGTATTTGCATTTTTACAAACGCAACCTGGCTGCCTTGAAAAGATTGAATTGTGTGGCAGCGAGACGGGAGGTGGGGAGTCCAGAGAGGAAGTGTATTGGACACTACTCTCAGTCCAGTTACCACGTCCCTCCGCACTCATGGAAGCCCGTGTTTTTTTTTTTTTAAAGATTTTATTGGGGAATCGGGGAAGGGGAACAGACAAGTTGCTGTCCTTTTGTTCTTCAGTCTATTGTAGAGGACGTCGCTTCACTGGCCCATGTTGATATTATCATTGCACTCTTCCTAGGTGAGGCAGATCGGTTGCCGGCCACTGGACAGCCGCTCATGGTGGCTCTTGGCAGCTCATGCTGGCTGCGGTTGCTGATGCCAGCTGCCAGCCACTCACGGTAGCTTATGGCAGCCCACTGCAGCATACACGGTTGCAGGTGACTCACGGCAGCCCAGCTCCAGGTTGAGCTGTTGTTCACCATCTTAGCTGTAGAGGGCGCAGCATCACTGGCCCATAAAGTGGGATCTGAACTGGGTTCCTGCTACTCAGAGCTGGCATCCCAAGCCAACTCTTAACCAACGTGCCACTCAGCCGTCCCCCCCCCCCCATTTTGTTTAGGAGGCCAGAAGGTCCAGCGTCTAGATGTGAATCCAAGCCAGTCATGGGCACTGCCATTTCCTTTTGCCAGTGATTGATCCAGTGGTGTGCCTGTGACCTAGTTCTTTCTGGCCAATGCGTTGTGGAGGGGGCATGTTTGGAAAGTTTTCCTGCTCTGATAACAGCTGAAGAGAAAGCCTTTTTTGTCCCCTTTCCTTCTTCCTATGAGATTGTAATGGTTGGAGCTGTAGCAATCACAATGAAACCATGAGACCCAAGCCTGAGGCCAAAGAGCCTACGGACTCACCAAAGAAGCCTGCACAGAAAGGCAGCAAGAACCAGGACCTGGGTGATGCAGCTGAGCTGCTGAATGAATCCAGGGACTGCCGACCTACAAGCTTCTTAAGATAGGACGAAATAATGGTCTTTATTGCTTACGCTGCTCTTAAAGGTAAGTTTATGTTGTCTAGAGCCCAAAGCATACCTGATAGATACAGGAAGCTGCCACAGTACTCCAGTCAAGAGATATATAGATGTGGACTGTTCCAGCGTTCAGTGAAAAACACTGTTCTCAAAAGATGGGAAAATATCTGGGCAGTTTTGGAATCTCTGGATGTGAAAAGCATGAATAGTTTGCAATAGAATATTCAAAATGTTAAAAATGCAATATACTTTACAAAATCTACAATATTATTTTTTTGGAGCAATACACACTTCTCAAACTCTTAATGTGTGACACAAATCACTAGGAATCTTAAAAATGTGAATTCTGGTTCCATCGGGCGGGGGGCGGGGCAGGAGTGCTAAGATTCTGCATTTCTAACGAGCGCCAAGGGATGCCAATACTGACCCACAGACCACACTTTGAGTAGCAAGGTTGTGGGTAACAATATATAACTTTGTTTATATTTCCAATTTGTAGTGAAGAAAAAACCCCAACTTCATGCTATAGCTTTTATAATACAAACTACAAATGTAAAGCTGATGAACTGTTGCTAGAAAGTGTCATGGGAACCCAGAAGACAGAGCCTCTGACACCTGGGAAGGTATCTATGGTTGAGGGTGTGTGTGACAAATTTGCTAGTGGCATTTCGTGGCACATACATGAAGTTATGTCCCCTAAGTGTGTCTGAAGAATAGCATGAAGATATTTTATTTAATGTTTGATATAGGTGCTACAATATACAACCAGAAAGGGATGGGAGTGGGTGGGTAGGGGATTATGGTACAGTTCATTCACTTTTCCATTGATGGACATCTGGGTTGTTTCCATGGGCTTTTTCCTGTACAATTTATTTCTGTAATGTCAGAATTTTATATTATCTGTTCACTTTTGTGGTCAGGGAGAGAGGAATAAAAATCAGGGGTCTGGACTTGGGGGGAAAACAAAAAGGATGAATTTCCTTAGTTTATAAAGAGCCCTTGCAACGCATTAAGAAAAAAAGATAACCCAAAAGAAAGATGATAATCAATAGCAAACATTTATGGAGCAGTTAGTACGGAACATAGTAGTTTACTTATAGTCATTGAATTTTCAGTGACCCAATGAGGTAGGTACTATTATTATTCCACCTTACAGATTAGGAAACTGAGACACAGATAGGTTAAGTAATTTACCCAAAGTCACAAGTTTGTAAGTGGCAGAGCTGAGATTTTGAACCCTATGCTCTTAATCACTACTGTCCTGCCTCCCAAGAAAAATAGGAAAAGGACATGAATGGAGTAAGGAAATGCAGTAAGGAAATGGGATAAAACACCCAATCTCATTCAACATCTTGTATTTCAATGACTCTAAAATGCATATCTTCACATTCAAGCATCTGTGAAATCAGGACGCATCTTACAATGATATCTTAGATTCAATGAAATACAGTAAGAGAAATGCAAATTAAAACCACCTATCAGATTGGCAAAGAGCAAAACACTTGATAACACACTGTGTTGGCAAGGGTGTGGGGAAACTGGTACTCTTAAAAGTTGGGAGAGTTTTAAATGGGCACGGCCTTGGTTGAAGGCAGTGTGGGAGGAGCTATCAAAATGCAACAGCAAACACCCCGGACCCAGCCATTCCTTGAGATTGACCCCTCAGGTCTGTTGGCCCTTATGAGCAAAGACTTCAGTTCTCTGATGCACACAACAATAGTTTGTATTACCCAAGACTGAAAATGACCCAATAGCCAATGAGAGAGAAGTTAAAAAAAGGAAGGCCCATCTTGAACTTAGAATGCTACACAGAATGAACAAGCATTGATATAACAATATATTCACACAATATATTGAGTGAAAAAAGGCAAGATGCAGAACTGTGCATATAATATTCTACCTGTTTTGTGAAAAGGGGGACAGACATGTCTCTATGCCTATATAATGGGCTTGCAAGGGTCTTGTGCAAATGATGGCCTCTGGCCGGGGGGACTGAGGGCCTGGGGGAACATGAGCGGGGAGCAATTTACTCTTCCGTCTAGACCAGGGAGTTGCTTAAGTTTTTTTCTGTAAAGGACCATAAATAGTAAATATTTTAGGCTTTGCAGGCCATTTGGTCCCTCTACTTTGCTGCTGTATTGAATGAGCAGCCATAGACAATATGTAAATGAGTGGGTGTGGTTGTGTGCCAATAAAGCTTTACAAGCAATACTAAAATTTGTACTTCACATGGTAGGCAATGCTTTTTTCCCCAAAACATTTAAAAAAAATGCTCTTGGGACCATAGAAAAATGGGTTGGCCTGACTTGGCCTACCGGCCGCTGTCAGCTGACCTCTGCTCTAGACCCTTTTGTATTGTTTGATTCTAATTCTTTACCTTATGCATGCATAATTATTACAAAATAATGTTTACAAGGGGAGATTGACATTTTAGGTTTATCAAAACAGGGCAGGTTAGAGTTGGGGCACCCTGGTGAGACCTCTCTAAGAAGTGAGCACAGAAGATGGTGCATGACATTCCCAGTCGAGTTGGAAATCCATTTGCCCTGCACTGCCACCTGCCCTACTCCACCACCAGATAGCAGCACAAATCCACCAGAGACAGGGCCATCTCGGCACCAGCTGGGAAGTCAAGGGCAGAAGTTGGCCCATGTGCCTGTTTTATTCTGCCATAGTGTTTTTAAAAAGATGGAGCCAGCGTTTAAAAATCTGACTTCTGGCTCCCCTTTAATTAGCCGATGTGAGTAGCAGTTGCACTTTGGGGCCTGATGTCGCCAGGGCATCCCAGTCTTTAGTGTCAGCTGCTGTTTCTCATTCTGTGTTGCTCTTTTCTTATAGAGGACACATGTCTCACTGGCCACCTGCCCCCTCACCTCCCTCCTTCCACTGGAGCTGCAAGTGGGTGTTAAAGCACAGTGGCTTGGGTCAGATCGGGGCTCAGATACCAGGCCTGCCACCTACCCGCTATGCGACCTTGGGCCTGTTACATGATCTCCATGCCTCAGTTTCCCCATCTGTGAATAGGGCTAAGTGTACTCCCCTCTCAGAGCTGCAGGGACTGCTTGATGGGACCCGAAGTACAGAGCTCTCCACAGTCTGGCACGTGGTAAGTGCTCAGTAGCTATTAGCACTTATTGGCACCCCCCTCCCCCATCTCACAAATGACCCCCACACTCCCAGACCTGACGCAAAACATACCTCCTTCTGGTTTTGAAAAGTATTTTCCCAGCCCCTGGGATTCAGGAGTAGGGAGATGGTCTGAGCCTGAGGCCTGGCTCTGCCTTACTAGCTGTGGGCAAGTCGCTTCCCCTCTCTGAACTCAGGCTGTTTTTTCACTGGCTCAGGGGAACTCACACAGGTTGGGAGGGCCTGGTTCCTGTCCCTGCAGGTGAACATGTTTCAGCCCTGGACAATCAGAATACTTCACCATCATTCCACTCCCCCCCAACCACCAAAGTGATTGGTCCAGGGGTAGTCACATGACCCAAGTTAGGCCACTGAGAGCCTGCCCTGGGGCTTTTGCTGCAACTACTCAGAAGACTTGAAATTTCTGAGCTGGTCCAATGTCGTCTCAATTCAGAGAAAAATAGAGCTAGAGAGACCAAGTTCTGATGACTCATGGGAGCCCCTGGGTCCTACCAAACCATAAGTCAGCATCACCTCTGAACTTTTCAGCTATGAGCTAATAAAATTATTTTAGGTATTAAGTTTCGGTTAAGTTATATAGTTTTCTGTCATTTAGAAGTTGATGAATTCTAGTATTCCTTTTGTGGTCCCGAGACAGTCACAAATCAAGTCTAGTGGTGGGCAAACTTTAAGGAAAATGAAGTTATGGGTCACAGTTTTTAAAAAATACTTTATCTCTCATTGCTCTAATGAGTCTTTTATCATGTCTATCCCCAAAAGGCTTTCTCTTTTTTTTTTTTCCTGGTTAATATTGTAGAAACTATCTAGCCCAGACTAGATATTGATTATAATGCCTGTAGAGTTCATTACTGAATCCCAGTGCCTAGCACAGAGGAGGTACCTTATAATAATTTGTTCAATGAATGAATGAACAAGATACTCATTAAAATGTCCAGTGTCTCCCCACTTATCTCAGCCTGTGAGGCTCCATATAGCTAGTCCCTATTTTTCCAACCTCATCTTCCATTTTCCCGTTGCTCACTTCAGTTCAATCACTATCTCTTAAAAACCCCGAACTTGTTCCTGCTCTCAGGGCCTTTGCACTTGCTGTCCAGTCAGGAAGCTCCTTTCCCCAGCTGGCTCCATCTTCTCTTCCAGATGTCAGCTCAAATGTCACCTCCTCCGAGAGGCCCTCCCTGACTACCCTGCCACACAGCACCACCCTGCTTTTCCAGTGTGGTTCCATGCTTTATGATTTTCTTTACAAATCAACATCTGAATGCCCATGTGCATTTATCTGTTTATTGTCTCTCTCCCCAGGAGGTCAACTCCACTAGGGTCTGTCTTTGTCTGTATGTTCACTGCTATGCCCCAACCTTCAGGTCACAGCCTGGTACACACCAGGTGCCAATAAACATTTGCTGAAGGAATTCATAAATAGGGATCAGCCTTCATTACTCTATCATCATGCTTTCCTGTGTGAAGACCATTCCTCACCAAATTATGGGTCCCCTCTAAAAGTGTCTGGAGCAGATGTCAAACTCATTCACTCTCAGGTGGCAAAGACCTCATCCTGGGCCCCAGGTTGTGGGGGAGCTGGGAATGGTGGGGCCTCACCCTCCAGGCTCCTTTACCCTCCTCCCCCAGCAACCAGGAAACACGAGGCAGCCGAGGTTAAGTAGACTCTTGCTGCTTTGTTATAAATATATTATGTACATCCAAAACATGACATTAAAATATTACTCCGTTACAGAAAAGATATTAAGGCTTTCTATTATTTACATTAAACAAGCAAGCACCTTTAAAAAAAAACCAAAACAAAAAAGCCCCATTCTTTCTTCTCTGACATACCCCTGGCCAGAGGGGATGCTGTGTCCCGTTCCAAATGACCAAAACCCATTGCAGAGGCTGTGCCCTGCGATGACTTACTTCCGTTAGAAACATTAGCTCTGGCTGGAATCACGTGGGCAGATAGGGGAGGGTCGGGGAAGAAGTGGGGGTCCACACTTGGGCAGGGGATTCTGGTTTCTTCTGGCCAGCTGCCCTCATACCCTTGCTGCGCTTTGCCATCCTTGGGTGGAAAGGCCAGGCTGGAGGTGGTGGCTGGGGATGTCCACTCACCCAGGCATGTGGGGTCAGTTTGCAGGGCTATGGCAGGGCAGTGCTCCAGGGACACTTAGGTATACCTGGGGGCTCCCAGACCACTGCGGGCAGACAAGGGACAGAGAAGATGACTCAGTGGCCCCAATGCCAGCCATGCTGAAGGGCTACCCATCGGGGCTGGAGTGGGTGAGCTTCCCCTCTACCCAAGGGGTGGCTGGCAGGGCGGGGTTCCTTTTTCTGCAGCCAGGCTTGGCAGACAGAGCAGCTCAGGGGGTTAGGGAGGGGCCAAGGAAAGAAAACAAAAAAAAAGGAAATTAAAAATCAGTGGCTCAAGTATTGTGTGTCACGAAGGGTGGGCTGGGGGTGCCTGGGCCCAGCCCAGGAGGTGTCCTCTCCACCTGGCGGGGCCAGCACGAGGAAGGCTGGAATTTGGCAGATGGCTTCGGTTTGGGGGTCTGGGGATGGTTGGCAACGAGGTGGCAGGCTGGAGGAGTTATTTGATCTTCTGGGCCCATTTCATGTCATCTGCCCGAGGCTTCTCGCCTGTCAGGCCCTGGATGAGGTCCTCTAGGCGTCGCCAGAAGCCCATCTTCTCCAGGGGGTAGTTGAGCCAGCCTGCAGTGGAAAACAGGGCACCAGGGGGTTGAGGGTTGAGTGGGGGAGCAGCAGCTGAGGGGATGTAGGGAGAAAGCTGGCCCTGCCTCGGGCAAGAGCAACCAACCGGAAGTGGGTCTGCAGAGGGGAGGGGACAGGACTGACCAAGGAATCTAAGGATGGGGCCCTCCCACCAATGGGCCTAGGGCCTGCCTTCACTCAATTCACTTTCATACTGAGTGCTTACTATATGCTAGCGTGGTAGTGTTTCTTATCACTTGACTCAAATGCCACCTCTTCCAGGAAGCCTTCCCTGACTACCACTTAAACAGCACTCTAGGCCTGTCATGTCACCCTCTTTTATTTTTATAGCCTTTATGATAATGTAACCATTCTCATTAATTTGCCACTTCCCCATTTTGTGTTGGTTTTTCTCCCCACACCTCAACTAGAATGTCAGCTCCGAAGAGCTGAACCCGATGTTCTTTCACTATTGATCCCCAGTGCCAAGAATGATGCCTAGTACATAGTAGGTGCTCAGTAAATATTGATCACAATCTTATTTAATCTGGATTAGTCTCCTACCCAAATCATGAGGTACATACTGTTATATTATTAGTCCCATTTTCCACATAAGAAGAATGAGGCTTGGCAGGGGGTTTCCCAATTAGTAGGTGGCCAAACCAGGGTAGATCCCAGCCCTGGCTGAGCAGTTAACATATTTCCTAAACAGCCTAACCCCTCTACCTGCTCTCAAAGAGCATGACTTTAGGACGAGCAAGGACTATCTTTTTGTGGCTCTCAGTTCTGCCTCCAGAAAGAAATAAAACAACCTCCTCCCCAAAAAACCAGTAGCAGCTTATTGAGTGCCCACCTACATGCCAAGCATTTTATATCCGCTATTCTGCTATTCACACCTAGCCTGTAAAGGTACTATGTGAAGGAGGTGGCTGCAGCCCCATTTTGTGGATGAGACACAATACCCAGGGAGGCTCGAGTCTTCTAAAGGCACACACAGAGGAGCTGATAGTTGAACCTAAGTTGGCCTGACTTGACAGCACCTCTGATATACTTAACCTTGAAAGACACTCAGCTGGCCCCAGAAAACCTGCTTGCCTGCCCCACCTCACCTCACCTCACCTCACCCCACCCCACCCCACCCCACCCCACCTCTCTGGCACTGGCCCATTAACTACCAATGGCGTGTGGGTCTCCTTACTGTTCCTCAGTCACCCCAGGGCGTTCCTGCCTCAAGACATTTGTATTTGCTGTTCCCTTTGCTTGGGCTAATCTATCCCTATTAATCTGCAGGTCCCCTCCCACACTTTTTTCAGCTTTTTGACCACCTCATATGGACAGTTACTCTTCCCCCACGTCCCCCTCTCTCTGCCCTTCCCTCTGCTTTGTTTGTTCCCCATGGCATTCCTCACACATGGACTTGGTCATCTCTCGTATCACTCTGCCCCTCATATCCTCCACTCCAGCCACACTAGCCTCCTTGCTGCTCCCTCAAACACGCATGCTCCTGCCTCAGGGCCTTTGCACCTACTGTTCCCGCTGCCTGCAGTGCTCTTCCTCCACATCTGCATGACTTTCTCCCTCAGTTCAAATGTCACCTTCTCACTGAGGCCTCCCTTGACCACCCTATTGGAAGGGTGAAGTCCTCCCCATTTCATTTTCCTACCCCATGCTTTATTTTCCTCCATAGCAGGTAGCACCATCAGATGCAGTACTTATGTATTTATTGTCTGGAATGTCCCCTATTAGAATGTGAATGCCACGAAGTCAGGATCTTTGCCTGTTTTGTTCAGTGCTGTGTCCCAAGCCCAGAGCTGTGCTTGGCACATAGTAGGTGCTCAAGAAATACTTGCTGGATGGTTGAGTGGTTGGAATAACAACTCCGTGAGGTGTGTGTGGGGGTGTCTGTCTTGTTTGCTGCTGTGTCCTTAGCGCTGAGAAGCATGTCCGGCACATAGCAGGTACTCAATAAATGTGTTCTGAGAACATTCCTCTGGGGGCAAGGACAGCCTGACCTCCCACCGTGACCTCTGTCCTCCTGACCCTGAGGAGGGAGCTGCAGCCGAAGCAGGGGTGGCCCATTCCGTGCCACCCTCCAGCCGCACCTGTGGTGATGCAGAAGTAGGTCTCGTGGGGTGAGACGTGGTGGATGCGATGGTGTTTACGCGGCAGGATGATGTGCCAGTCCTGCAGGAGGATGACCAAGCGCGGCAGCCCAAAGTACGTGTGTGACCACTTGTGGATCTGGTTGGTGAAGGTACCAAAGATGATCAGGCAGAAGACGAAGCACTCCCAGGGATACAGCTGCTCCAGGGCTTCTGCAGCGGGGGGAGAGGGTGGGTGCCCATCGGGCCCACACAGCCGTCACATCGGGTGTGAGCAGCCTGGCCCTCACTGCTCACCCCGGGCAGCTCCCATTCCAGGCTCCTTCCAACCTCCCCCATGGGCTCAGGCAAGCTCAGACGCCCCTGCTGCTCAGGGGGCAGCTAGTAAGTAAGCACAGGTAATAGTTAAGTATGGGGGGCTCTGGGTTCAGACCCCTGCTGTGATACATCTTGTCTGGATGAGCTTGGGCCACTGACTTTGCCTCTTTGAGTCTTAACTTCCTCATCAGTAAAATGGGAATCGGTTTTTGTCCAGGTTCCCTAGAGGCACAGCCTGAGACAAGGATTCAGGGGCGCATGATTTATCAGGGGGCTGGGGGCAGGGGGTAGATCTCTGAAGCATTAACGGCTCCATAGTTGGTCCCACTCAGAAATGAGGGGGCTGGTCTTTAGTAGGCGTTTCCTGGCACTGGCTTCAGGCTCATCCCCAGGGGAGAGGGAGGACCTGCCCTGGCAGCACTCAGAAGGGGCTGCTGGGAGCTGTTAGCAGCCACCGCTCACAGCAGCCAGGGGATGGTTACACCCCTCGGGAGGGGGATGTGGGTGGGGCACCACAGTACCCTCTACACCACAGACACTTGTCACATCTACTCTCAGGGAGGCTGCTCTAAGGATCAACGAGGTGTCAAGTTGTTAGAACAAGACCTGGCAGAGGAAGGACTCATCCCCCCACCTGACAGATACGGTAAGTGAGGCTCAGAGAGGTGAAGCGGCTGCTTTGGAGTGACAAGTTCCCTCCCTAAAACAGGCAGGGCAGAGATCTCAACGCAGGGCTGTTTTGAGTTCAGTGCTGTTACTCTTTCCACTAAACCAGGGTAGCAAAGCCAAAAACTTTGAGAGCCAGGTAGGTAATGCAAACACGCAAGCGGGGGCTGGGTATAGGACAGCAGGGAGTGGTGGGGACTGTGGCAAATTGGAGAGTGTGCATCTTGTCTAAAGGGCGCAGCTACAGCTCAGCTCTGGTCCAGTGAAGCCAAGTGGGAACAAGGACCCCTGGCCAGATTGGATTGTTTAAGAGAAGCTGGAAACATAGACATTTATGTCAAATACCCGAATTTTACCTGAAGATAACTAACTAAAACTTTTTTTATAACACTGTGAGGCGGTCACACACATACACACCAACCACAGGAGGTTCATGGGGGTTGAGGGGAGTGTCTGTCCCCGATGGCCCCCTGGAGGTCTACCACCAGCTGGCATGCTCACCAGGGCTCTGGGTGTGGAACTTGTAGGCCATGTTCAGTAGAGGCAGCAGTGTCACCAGGCAGTTGTCCCCATTGGTCTCGATAAAGTCATGACGTGTAATGGCCGTCGGGTCAATGTGATGCTCCCGGAATGGTCGAATGAAAGCCTGGGGTGGGGTAGGGAGTTGGGAGTGGGGATACATCTGACCGGTCAGCCTGTGGTGGTCAGCCACTCCCCCCAACCTCCTACACACACTCGATTCAAGCTCATCTCCTTGCCCTTGGGGCAACAGAACATTCCACCATGCCGCTGATACAGATTCCCCCAGCCTTCAGGGTCTAGGTCTAGCAGCTCTAGCAGCAGACAGATCAAAATGACCTAGTGGGGACTGTAGGCTGGTACTGCCCTCCTTTAGGCCTCAGTCTCCCCACCTGGGCTGTGAAGGGGCTTGGAGACGATCTCCGCCCTTCTTTCCTACCTTACGACAAATTGAGGAGGCCCTCACAGTGACAGGTAGCACCCTCTATTTCTTCCCAGCATCTAAGCCCTTCCTTCTGGTAACGGCCTCACCCTCTTCTCTTAGTACAGCTATTCTGATGGGGCTGAGCCCACCATTCCCTAGTTTCGAGTGAGCATGTCACCCTGGCTTGGCCAATCAGAGCATTCCATCCCTCCAGCAACAGCGATGGGCTGAGGGATGGGCATGTGACCCAAGCTGGGCCAATGGGAGTGAGCCATGGAACTTTGGCTATAACTATGGGAAAGGAGAGTTCTCTTTCCACTGGGGGTGGGTGCTGAGCTAGGAGGATGGAAGTCTAGGCAGCTGGGAGCCATCTGGCTACCTTCTCAGAAGAAAGCCTACATGAGAGTGAAACCAACAGAGAGGAAAGCAGAGACAGACATGGAGAGAGACTGAGTCTGAAGAATACGGTCTGTTTGTTCTACTGGACCCAGCCACGCCTTAATTTGGTTCCACTCCTGAAATTTTCAGTATACAAATCAGTGTCTTTACTTGCTTAAGCCAGTTGGTACTGGATTTTCTATAATTCACAACCAAAAAGGTCTGACTGATACAAGATAAAGTTAAATTAAAATAAACAAGCAAATAGTGAGGCAAGGCAGGCAAAGGAGAACAAGATGTGGCCCCCGAAATCAAGGGGTTCTGGCGAGGCAGACACATAATAAAGCTTCTGACCGTGCCATGCCTGATGCGTTTGCTTCCAGAAAATCCCTGGGGCTTCCTGTTCTAGTCCTGGGGGAGATCAGGCTGGCAGGGTGGTCCCCATCTTTCAGAGAGGGAAACCGAGGCTCAGATGGGAAAAGGGACTCACCGAAGGTCAGAAAGCACAACCTCCTTCCAGAGGGGACAGGCTGGGCTGGCTCAACATACGTACCTTCCCCACAATGGGCAGCTCCACGGAACCCCAAGTGTCGGCTCCCCAGTGCACCAGGCCAGACAAGAAGTCAGCAATAAGAGCCCCTGCAACTGTGGACAAGAAAAGGGTGAGCCTGGGCTGGGGACACACAGAGGGACACCTCCCCACCTGCCCACCCCCAATCAGGGAGTCACGCATTCGCTTGCTTGCTTGCTCACTCACTCGTTAGGGTAGAGGCTGTCCCTTCTCTACTTGGAACGCTTTGTCCCCTGTGAATGGGGCCTCAGGAATAACACTCTTGGCCTCAATCTGGATCTGTCCCTTTACTTGCTCTGCCCCATGGGAGTTGTGGGAACCCACGTGCTTGGTGAGTCTGCGAGAATAAACTGGGCATGCTCATATCAGCCCAACCTTTCCCTGTTAGGAGCTGACTGTCCCCTTGCCTCTGACCCCCAATCTCTCTACTCTGCTCCAGTGTTGCCAGTGACTAGATGGAAATGTCCTTCTGGGGTTTGGTGTCAAAGTGTACCTTAGGTGCAGGTAGACACCATGCTCCCCACCCCCGCCCCATCTAGCTTTTATCAACAGTCAATTCAACATGATCATTTGGCCTCCAGCAGCCTTTTCCTTGTCTTGGTTCTCAACTGATTCAGAACTGGAGTAGGGTCCCCTCAGAGACCCCAACACCATGCACTCACTTGAGGGTTCAGTATGATACAGAGGTGAACAGTGGTTACATCTGAACTCAAATTCCAGCTGTCACTCACTAGCTGTGTGACACTGGGCATATTACTTAACCTCTCTGTGCCCTAGTTTCCCCTAGATAGATGGGAATGATGATTAAAAAAAACCATCCCATTTATTGAGGATTTCAATGAATTCTCATGATCTGTTTGAAGTTGGTACCATTTTTATTCTCACTTTATAGAGGTGGAAATGGAGGCTTAGAGAACAGAAGTAACTGGACTGAGGTGGCATAAATGGCAAGTGGCAGAGCCGGGCTCTTAACCTGCCTCGAGGTCCAAATCTAACAGCAGGATGCACCGTCACCATTGTCCACATGGAGAAACTGAGGCGGAGTGGCCAGCACCTGTCCCAGGTAACACCCCCGTGCCATCCCCCCTCACACTCCCGTCTCCTGCATGTCAGCCCCCCTGGAGTGTCCCCTTTCCTTTGCCCTTACATGCCTCTGGGTTTTTGCATTTGCTGTTCCCTCTGCCCAGAACATTCTTTCCCGAGCTGTATCACAGCTCACTCCTTCACTACCTTCAGTCCTTCACCCAAATCCTCCAGGGACACCTGATTTAAAATTGTAAACACTCTCACCTTCCAGCGTTTCCCATTTCCTATTGTTCCTTTTCTCCAAGCACCTGTTACCTTGGACTTCATTATTCTTTGTTTATTGTCTCCCCTACAAGAACATCAGCCCCACAAAGGTAAGGGAATGTTTATGTCGGTATCTTGGTTTCTGGCACTTACCAGGGGTTCAGTAAATACTTATTGAATTAATCAGCGTAGACACTAAGTACAGTACTTGGCTCACTGTAAGCCCTCAATACCTACTACTATTACTGTTGTTGGGAGTCAGTTATTTCGTCTATCAAGCAATATTCGGTGAGGACATGTGCTGTGCACCATGCTCTAGCGCCAGAGATGCATCAGACATTGAGCTCACCATCTCCAGGGCAAAGAGGCACGAGGAGGGAGAAGCTGTCAAATGTGGCAGGAACAAATGCAGTTTTCAGTGATGACAAGTGCAGTCCATTGGGTCATGTGACTGCAGGCAAACCCTTTCCCTCCCCCTCCTTAGACTCATTTCTCTGTGTGAACTCGTCCAAGGCCCAGCTATGCTATTTAAGGGATCTTTGAGTTCTGCTAGGGCCCTCAGCCCTTTGGTGACAGCAGGCCTTGGGGTGCTATGGAGGCTGGAGAAAAGCCCCTGGAGACCTCCCTGGAGAACGGGAGTCACGAGTGACGGGGCAAGAGTGCGCGTGCGGGTCACTGTGGACATATAGTTCTGATGCCTGGGCCTGAATTAAGGGGTAGCCGTGAGTGAAGACTTTACACAGGCCCTAGAGCCTCCACCCTATGGATGCCAAACATGGGTGAGATGATGGGGGCGGGGAAGACACAGCTACATGCAGGCACCTCGTGTTCCTCATGACAAGGACACGCGGCGGCACCACCTCCTGGCAGGTGGAAGCCAAAGATAGGCCATAGGGTGACACTGCACAGGTGGCTGGGTTGGGGACAGGGCAGGGCTCAACAGGGCCCGCTGGGCCTGTGTACTGAGGGCCCCACCCAGGGCTGGGCAGCCCTGCTCCTCAGTGACAACGCTGGGACGTGGACCTGGGCAGAGGTGTCAGGGAGATGGAAGCCAAGGGCTTCTGTGCCTGCTGGCCCTCTACCTGGCACAGCACCCTGCCCGCCCTGAAGATCTCCGAATGGCTGGCTCCTCCTCAGCCTTCTAGCTCAGCGCAATCATCACCCAACCCCCCTGGCTAAAGCCAACCTCTCAGGCAGGTGCTCTTGGTCACATCTCCCTGCTTTATTTCTATCACGGCCCTTGTCACCACCTAAGATGGCTGCATTTATTATCCCTACTTCTTGGATGAGAAAAGGGGCTCTCAGAAATTATAACAATCCTCTCCCCTCCCCGAAGTGGCAACCATGGGATGGAAAGAGGCGGGTTTACCCACCTCTAAAACCAGCACCCTTTCATGTCCTTCAACTGAACCTCAGGAGGTCCAGGGGCATTCATAGAGCTCCTACTACATACTGTAGGATGCTGTATACACACTGCCTTGTGTCAACCAGGAGGGACAAGAGGCATGTGGCTAGGAGCACAGGCGGGTATAGATCAAGAATTGGGAGCCTCATCTCTTGCTATCATATTGCTGTGTGATCTTGGGCAAGTCCCTTGACCCCTCTGGGTCTCAGCATCTTCCAATGCACAGTGAGGGGTCAGCTGAGGTGCCTTGAGGCCCTACACCGACAGCTCTAATGACAACTGTAAATGCTGCCGTCACAAGAAGGCAGCCCCTCAGTCAGTAACCTTGCACCCCCTAATTTCCTTCACCCCTATTCCATGCAACCTCTGATCTGCTTCCCATCATTATAGGCTGGTTTTGCCTATTTTAGAACTTCATATGAATGGATTCCTATAGTATGTGCTCTTTTGGGCCTACCTTCTTTCACTCACATAATACTTTTAGAGTCCTCCATGCAGCTGATAGATCAATAGTTCATCCTTTTAATTGCTGAATAGTATTCCCTTGTCTGGATGTCCCACAGTGTGTGTATCCATTTCGCTGTTGGATGTCTGGGTTGTTTCTAGGCTGGGACTGTTATGACTCACACTTCTGTGAAAACGTTTATATACAAGCCTGTGTGGAGACATATGCCCTTGTTTCCTTTGGGTCTAAAGATGTCAACTATTTATTTTTTTTGTTGTTGACATTTATTGGGCAAGTTAGATACCAGGGTCTATGTCAGCATCTTAAATGTTTTATCTCTTCTAATCCCTAAACTGTACCAAGGCCAGTTCTAAACTGGTTACACATCTTATCTCCTTAATCGTCCTTAGCCTTTAATCCTTACAGATGACAAGAATAAGAGCAAAAGCAATACAGGTGGTCCAGGCTTACAACGGTTCAACTTATGATTTTTTGACTTTATGATGGTGTGCAAGTGATACGCACAATAAATTACATATATTTAATACTTTATTATAAAATAGGCCATGTAGTAGATGATTTTGCCCAACTATAGGCTAATGTAAGTGTTCTAAGCATGTTTAAAATGAGAAATTATTTCTAATTTCCCGCTCAGCTATGATGTTTGGTAGGTTACGTGTATTAAATGCATTTTCGTCTTAACGATATTTTATCAGGAGGTAACCTTATCGTAAGATGAGGAGCATCTGTATTAGAAAAAACAATGTTTGTGGTAACGGTCAACAATGGAGGACTTCCTGTGTGCCCAGCGCTATGTCAAAGGTGGTAAAAAGTGCATTATTGGGGAGTACAGCTCACCACACCTTAAGTATGGGCTGTGCACAGTGACTTCCTTCCAGAGAGGACAGTATGGGAGGGGAGAAGGAGAGTAACTTTCCAGTGGGGAAACTTGACAAACTGCTTGTGTCAGTTGGTGAAGGTCAACATCACGGCGCTAAGTCATGTTGACAGTACATCCCTTTGCTACAATGTGATGACAATGACACTTTACCTCTGAGTTCTTCCTCCCTGAAACACATAACCCAGGCCAAGAAAAACACCAGACCAATTCCAGTAGAAGGGCATCCTACGAAGGAACAGTCCTCAAAACTGTCAAGATCACAGAAAACAAGGAGAATCGGAGAAACTGTCACAGCCAAGAAGAGCCTAAAAGGACATGACAACTAAATGCGATGTGAAATCCTGAATGGGATCCTGGATCAGAAAGAGGACATTACTGTGAAAACTAAGGCAATCTGAATCAATTGCCTTTCGTTCGTAATAATGTATCCATACTGAAGCAGTAACTGTAACAAATGTATGATACTAATGTAAGATATAAGATGCTAATAATAACAGGGCAAGCTGAGGGCAGGAGTATATGGGAACTGTACTAGCTGCTCATTTTCTGTAAATCTAAATTGTTCTAAAAATAAAGTCCACTGAGATGGGCCCCGCCACATCCCGACTTCCAGAGGAGAAAATGAGGCTCAGGGGTAGGACAGCCCAGGGTCACAGGGCTGCCGGCGTGGCCGCAGACCATTAGAAGGGGCGTGCACGATCACGCTGAGCCTTTCCGTCCAAGTCCAGGAAGTGAGGATATTAACAGTGCTCACTCCACCTAACGACAATCAGTTAACAAGACGGGCTAATGCAGGTCAAGCGCTCAGCACGGTCCCTGGGACACAGTTAAGTGCTCCCCAAATGTAGCTATAGTTAGTAGTTTAAATATCACTCCCCTCTCCGAGCCTCAGTCTTGTCATCTGGTAAATGACCAGCACCCGGTCTTTTCAGGTGTCCAGCAGAGGGGGAACGTATGCTTTGGACAGAGGTCAGGAATTACTTTGGGAGAGGAGGAGCTGTCCCCTTTTTCTGGGAGGAAAAGGCTCTGTGTTTCCTGCGTTCCTTTTTGGGTGGCTGTTTCTAGGCTCCAGGCTGCTGCCTGAGACTGCTTTAATGGGGGCAGGGGTGGCAGAGGCGGGCACACAGAAGCTTCTTTGTCCCAGTCGGTGGCAGTGGCCGGCGGCTGGCTTACCCTGGGGACAGCTTCGGCCTGGCCGCCTCCCTGTCTGCAGGACACTGGGACGGGGGTATGACTCACTCCAGGCCACCTTGACTCACTGGGCGACCTTGAGACAGCTTCTGCGCCTCTTGGTGGGGGCCCATTTCCCCACAGGTCACCCAGCTAGGCCTTCTTCGCCTCTGCCCAACTCAAGGGATAGTGTGGAGACAGAGTGGCGGAGACAGAGGGCTTGTCAACACTGTCCTGGGGCCAAATTCTATCTTTCAGCTCAGAAACCCATGGAGAAGCCACACCAGGCCAGTCATAACCTGAGGCCATGTGACCTCTGACCTCACTGCCCGCCTTGCACCCACTCACTGTGCCCGACTTGAACACCCTCCCTTCTGTTTGTCTGCCAGAAAACTTCCAGCCTCTTCTTCAAACACCAACTCATAAGCACGCACACTCTTCCTCCACTTTCTCCAAGTGCAGCCAACAGCTCAGGGCTCCCAGGGTTTTCATTTGTTCATTTATTCGTTCATGACAAGACTCCTGGTCAAGGTTGCTAATGATCCCAACGTGGCCAAATCCAGTGGTCCGTCCCCTCGCTGCCCCCTAAGTCTCCTGGAAACACATTTCTCTCTTGCGGCGTACCCCCCGCTCTTGGTGGGTTCTTCCTCCTCGCCCTGGCAGCAGCAGCAGCAGCCTGGGGTCTCCTCTCAGCTCCCACTCAGCCACTCAGCCCCTGCAGGCACACTACCAGGACCTGAGCTTCACACACCATCTCTTCAAATAGCAAGGTCGCCTCGGTTTTGATCTCTAGCTGCCTTCCCTGGCTCCAGCTTGGGTTTCTGGATTTCTAATTTCCTGCTCAACACTTTTCCTTGGCTCTCCAGCAGACATCTCAAGCACTTCCCCTCAAGCCTGCTCCTTCGGCCTCATCCCTTCGGTCACTCAGGCTACAAACCTGGAGTTGCCGCCGACCCCTCCGTCTCTACCTCCACAGCCAACCTGGCAGCATTCTGGCGGCTCACCTTTCACAGCTTCTCACCACCTCTACCACACGACCCAGGTCTGGGCTGCCACCTTTGCCTCCTCTCTGGCCCTCACACCCCCCATCTGTCCTCCCTGCAGCATCAGCTGATGTCAGCTCCCTGCAGGAAACTCACCAATGGCTGTTCACGGCCCGTGGAATAAAACCCCTGGCCTCCTTCTATTCCCCAGTGCAGTGGGCATACGCCAGCCCCAGGGCCTTTGCACTTGCTGTTCCTTCTGCCTGGAATGCCCCTCCCAGAAATATCAGCCTGGCCCCCTCCCTCACCTCCTTCAGGTCTCTACACAAACGTTAACTTTTACAAAGAGAGGCCTCGCCTGACCTCTTGCCTCTTCCCTGCCTACTCCCTTATCTTGATTTTGTTACCAGTGTTGCGCCATCTGTTTGCATTTATTAACTGGGCACCTTTCATGCTTCTGCTTCTTCTGGTATCAAAGGCCTGCTAGAGGCACCGGAACCTTTAGGGAGATAATGTTGGGCAGGGGGCGGGCTCTGTAGGCTGGCACAGTGCCCTTACTTCCTGCGTGTTAACACATAAATCAGAGCAGCTACTTAAATTGATTAGTCTGTGCAAACATCATTATCAGGGGATTGTCTGCTCTTATCAGCCCAGAGACAAAGGTACGAGATTGGGAAGCTGGGAGTCAGATGCACTGGCTACACAGCCAGAGATCTCCTGAGCCCAGGGCTGGGAGCTCTGGTCCCCACCAGGGAAGGGAGGTGGGTCACCAACTGTCCTGGCCCACACAACACACACCTGGGCTCTGACGCCGCCAGTCCTCTGCCCAAGCTGGGCCCACTGCCTAGAATACCCTCTCCTCCCAATGCTAACTGGAGGCTGTATAGCCCATGGTTTGGGAGCCAGGCAGGTCTGGATACGTGATCCCAGATGTTGCTGCCTGGGTGAGGGCCAAAGGGCAAGTCACCTGGTGTCTCAGAGGATGGCGATCAGAACCTTCTCACTAGGTTTCCACCAAGAGTTAAAAGTGCCCAGCCTGGGGCCTGGTGCATAGTAGACACTTGGGAAACATCCATTGTTAAACTGACCATTGAGGCGGAAGGCCCAAGTCCCTGTGAGTGGTATGTTGGGTGGTGTCCCCTCCCCACCTCTATTCAGTCACTGGCCCGCTCAGCAGTTATACACACATGCATTTTGCCCTCACAGTAGCCCTTGGGGGCAGGTACTGTGAGCAGCTTCACTTAAAAGATGTGGAAAATGGGTGCGGCTGGTTAGCTCAGTTGGTTAGAGCGCAGTACTCCTAACACCAAGGTTGCCAGTTCGATCCCGACATAGGCCACTGAGTTGGGCCCTCTACAACTAGATGGAAACAACTACTTGACTTGGAGCTGATGGGTCCTGGACAAACACACTGTTCCCCAATAAAATTTAAAAAAAAAAAGTGGAAAATGAGGCTCAGAGATGCAATGACACTTGCCCAAGGCTACAGAGCCAGGAGGTGGTGGAGCTGGGACTTGAACCCAGATCTGCAGGGGCTGCTTGTGACCATCTCAGCTGGGGCTTCAGGACTTACACTGTCTCCATTCTTGCCCTTGAATGTGGAGCTCTGAGGCAGAGGCTGGAGGGGCAGGTCCCTTGCATCCCTGGGCAGAGGGGCCATCTGGCTCCTGTGGGTGAGACCCAGGCTCCCCAGCACTGGATGGAGTAAGGCCCCCTCCCTCCAGCTGGCAGGGCCCCCTAGCACATGCCTATCCCCATCTCAGACCCAGACGGCTCAATTAGCAGGCGTCAGCACTACTGGCTTAGGCAGCCAGAATGCTTTTAATGAGGCTGGGGGAGCTGAACACTTAGGAAGGGCCAGGTGGGCCAAGGGCACAGCTGCCCCTCAGCCTAAGAGCCCAGGACGGGGGAGGGGATGAGTGCCTGAGTCAGAGGGAAGAGGGGTGGGGTGGTGAGTGGAGAGGAAGGAAATGTAGTCATCCCGGGCCCAGGGGTGGAGAAGACAGTGAATTAAGAACTGTGTCGTGCTTTTGGCTTGAGGTGTGACTCTGGGCTGGTCCCTTTGCTGAGCCTCAGTTTCCTGATCTGAAAAACGATGACAACCATAGCATCTACCTGCCAGCTGTAGATAGGTGAGGACCGACCAAAGGAAAACACTCAGCACGTACTGATAAGTTGCAGCTTGCTCATTCATTCATTCACTGATTTAATAAATATTTATCGAGCACCTACTGTGTGCCAGGCTTTGTGTTTGCGGCTGGGGACATAGCAGTTAATAGATAAAACTTTCTACTTTCAGGGAACTGACACTTGATTAGGGGGAAGACAGATCATAAATAAATAAACAAACAAATAAATAAATAAATAAATAAATTGTATAACAGAGTAGGGTGAGGAGACAGCATATGACAGAGCTGTATATATATATATATATATATATATATATATATATATATATACACACACACACACACACACATATATATATGTGTATATTTTAAATTGGGAACAGTGTTTTTCCAGGACCCATCAGCTCTAAGTCAAGTAGTTGTTTCAATCTAGCTATGGAGGGCGCATCTCAGGGGCCCATGTGGGGATCGAACCAACAACCTTCGTGTTATGAGCACTGCGCTCTAACCACCTGAGCTAACCGGCTGCCCCAGGGCTGCTATTTTTGAGGGATAATCAGTGGGGAGCCTCCTGAGGAGGTGACCTCTGAGCAGAGACCTGGACGAGGGAGTGAACCATGTAGGTATCTGCAGGAAGAGTTCCAGGCGCAGGGAACAGCAGATGCAAAGGCCCTGAGGTAGGAGTGTGTCCAGTGCATGGTGGAGGCACACTGAGGAGGCCAGTGTGGTGGGGGCAGGACGAGCCAGGCCAGAGTGGAGGGAGGTAAAAGCTGAGGAGCAGCTGCGGCCAGGCTGAGTTGAGGAGTTGGTGTTTTATTCCACGCATACAGGGGAGACCAGGGGAGTGGCCTGACCTGACTGAGGTTCTAACAGGACCCCTCTTGCTGTGTGAGGTGGGGAGACCAGGGAGGAGGCTCCCATGATGGTCCAGGTGGGAGAGGATGGTGGCTGGACCAGAAGGGGACAGTGCAGGTGGAGAGTAATGGTTGGACTCTGGATGCATTCCGAAAGTGGAGTCAAGAACATTTGCTGATGGTTTGGATGTGGAATGTGAGAGAGAGAGGAAGGAACTGAGGATGATGCCCAGGTTTTTGGCCCAGCTGACAGGAAGGACACAGGTGTTACTGACTGAGATGGGAGGCAGGGTTCCCATAGCACGTACTGCACTCATGAGCACGCACACATGAGCATGCACACCCACACACGCATACACGTGTGCAAGTCGCCGTCTGAGTGGCACACACACTAGGTAGGTCTCTGACCCTTGTGGAAACTGAGGCTGGCAGCAGAGCTGTGGGCACTCACCGACACCCAGCATCACGAGGGGCGTGTGCTCCCAGCGGGCCAGCAGCAGGAGATGGGTCAAGTTGTGGGCAATGAGGCTGAAGCACAGGACCACACAGCACCACTCCTGGAAGCGCTTGCCTGCGGGGAGAGAGGTGAGAGGTGAGCTGGCAGGGCAGGTGGTCCAGAGCTGGGCCCCAGGGGCGCTCTTAAATATATTCCACGAGTCTACAGTGCTAACCACAGGCTGAACTTAGGAACAACCAAGGAAAGGCTCCAACCTACCCATTTCACAGATGATGTCACTGAGGCCCTGAGAAGGGGAAGGGCCTGCCTGAGATCATACACTCAGGAATGGCTGCAGCAAACCAAGCGTGGGGCCCTTCTGAACGCAGGCCCCTGGTGCCCAGGTCATACACCCATGAAGCCAGCCTTGTATGTGCCAAGTCTTTGGCAGACAGGACCAGAACGCTGATCTCCTGGGCCCCGCTTTGGGCTCTCTCTGGAGACACCTGAGGGAACTTTAATAAGCTTTTTTAAACTGGCATCGTGGCATCACCTATCCCCTTTTGTAGGTAATTACTTGGAGGTAGAAGCTACAAACAGCTTCTAATCCCAGAGGTTCAGACCCCAACCTCCATCAAAGCAGGGCTCCAGGCAGTGAGTCAGGAATTCAGGAGAAATGGAGCCTTGGTTATTGCTTCTAGGGCTCCTGCCAGGAGCAGGGGGTCCAGGAGTAAGCCACAGGGAAGAAGAGGTGGTATGAAGAGGAGGGAGTCACAAGTGCTCAAAGCCTCCAGGGGCCAGCGGGTGATGTGCAGGAGTGAAGTGGGCCGAGTGTGGACAGTGGGACGCGGCAGCACACGTGCCTTTTCTACAGGGCAGCCACTAATTGGCCAGCTACTGCCAGGTGGGAGTGTGGGCCCAGGGAGGCTGGAGCTTGTATTCTCAAGGGAAGCCAGAAATCAGGATGTGGGTATGAAATCCTCTCCTTAAATGTTGCCACACATTTTTACTAGGCATGTGCGCTCAAACAAGCTGATTCACTTCACTGCAGCTTTGTCTGAGGTGTCAAACCATTGGAAATAACCTAAGCGTCCACGGCCTGGGGGATTGGCCAAATTAATTTGGTCCACAGCATCTCTGTGGCTAGGAAGAAGGTGGGGTGGCTGTTTATGTGTGGACGGGAGGGATATCCAGGACATACCGGTAAGGGCAAACAACAGCCATTTATGTAAACAAAACAAAACAAAACAAAAAACTACGTAGTCAAGACTGGCTTTTCACTTACTCCATTTTGAATTTAAAATTTGCGAATGTACTAACTCCATCAAAAACCTTTTCTCATAATTTTAAGTTAAAATTTAAAAAAGTAAAAGGAAATAAAAACATCATGTGGGTGACACAAAACATGTGACACGGCCATTGGGAATATTGCTTTTCCAGGTAGCTGGTCCCAAGGGAATGGACGACGCTTAATGATAAACGTTTTCTCATCATTAGTGTTTAATATCTACTGAGCAGTTACTATGTGCCAGGTACCTGCTGAGGTGATGCCATTTTATGGATGAGAAGTCTGAGGGTCAGAGTGGTCCCAAGGAAGCAGCCCAAGGCCACCCAGCTACTCAGCTATAGACCAGGATCCTGTGGCCAGAGGGTCTGGCTCCTGAGACCCTGCTCCTACCCAACCCTGTCCTGCTGTCCCCGGTCCCTCCCTCCATGCCCCATCATCCTTATGGCCCTAACCACATTCTGGGTCAGGCCCACCTCACACAATAGGGCCAGTCAGACCCCTGTGAGTGATTAACAACCAAAGGGGCCAGGGCACATAAAGAAGGTTCCTCCTGCATCTGTCCTCTCTCCTCTTTAGTGCTTTGTGTGTGCTGTTCCCTTCACCGCTCCCTGCAGCAGGCTGACTTTGGTACTGTTCTTACAAATCTCAATCTGGAATCTCTGCCTCCAGAGAGCCAGCCATGATTCCTCCTCTGACCCCTGGGCTCTCCCAACATGAAGTCTGCCATATGGGACTGTCATTGCCTGTATAACATCTGTCTTCCCCTCACCAGATGTGAACCCAGCAGGCCTGGGACCGTGTCTGGTTTGCTCACCAGGGTCCTGGCACACAGCTGGCGCTCAGTAAATGCTTGTGGAATGAACAAATTCCCTACCATAATCCTAAAAAAAAACCCCTGCCAGGCTTTGCCTCTGGGCACTCCTCCCCAAAAACCTTGGAAAGGAAACAGTAGGCATCTCATTGTTCCTGACAGGGAAACAGGCTCAGAGAGACAGAGAGAGACAGAGAGAGACAGGGAGAGAGAGATAAAGGGCCTTGTCCAGGTTGCACAACAGCACGCTGCACCCTGAGCCAGAATCAGAAGAGCAGCCATCCCCTTGCTCTGTGAAAAAAATCAAGGTTCTGAGTGGGGAAGGGACACCCCAGAATCACATCCCCTTGATCCCTGTGGTACGGATGAGGACACAGGCTCAGAAAGGGCAAGGGCCTCAATAGGGGTCACACAGCAGCAGCAGAGGGCCTAGAACCCCTTGCTTCCGGCTTCTTGGTCAGGGGTTGTTTCCCTTCAGCCATGGCCCTGCCACTCCAGCAGCCCCCAGCTAGAGTCCATCACCATCTGGCCCAGCAGGGCCTTCCCTGTTCTGGTTCCTCTTTGCGGCCAAGGCCTGGGACTCAGAAGCAGGAAGCTGGTTGTGGGGCTTTGGGGGGGAGGGCAGCTAGAGGTGAGGGGCAGGTGAATCCTCAGCGCCAACCTGCCTGCCTGCCCCGCAGACTGTAGGGACAGCAACTCAATCAAATAACAGTAACAGTGACAATGGCTGACACCCACTGAGGCCTATCACACCTGGGGTACCAGGTGTAGCCTACATCAGAGAAGTCACAGACCCACTCTCTCTGGCATATTTTGTTCTCAGTTAATAAAAAATTAGCTACACTAAAAAAAAAAAATCACATAAAATTCCTATTTCTTGCTTCTCTTCAGAACCCAGGAATCTGGCCACCCTGGGCTTGAGCAGCAGTGGCTGCCCCATCAGCAGACGGCAAGAGCTTCCAGTTCACCCCAGTGCCCTCCCCTCCTGGTGGCCTCCTATTGGATGGCTTCCCTTGGTGGAAGTCCTGGCCAGGCCCCTGCAGTCATCTGAGTTTTTGAGCCTGAAGCACAGTCTCTCGTTCAAGTCTCAGTCCCTCCAGGGAGGAAGTGTGTTATCCCTTTGCCGAGATGAGGAAACTGAGGCTCAAAGGGTAAAAACGAAGAGCTGGGTTTGGATCCTGGGCTCAGTACACGGGACACGTCAGTCTGAATGGTTGGGGCTGTCCTGATCCTCAAGATTGCCCAGCTCACGCCCCACGCGATGGAGAATGCCTCTGAAACCAGAATATTTTCCCACCTAAACTCTCTCTTTGGCTTTTGGGTCCTTCTGCAGACCAAATGCCTCAACTTTGATCTATAAAAAATACATCTCCAATAATAAGCGGCCTTCACTGAGCACTTCCTACATGCCAGGTACAATGCCAGGGTTGACCTCAGCCAGCCCTCGCCATACACCATGGGCTGGGACCTTTGCTCGATTTTTCAGAGGGAGAAACCATGCCTGGGGATATGAAGTGATTTGTTCAGAGTCACTTGAGGGTCACCAAAGTCACAACACGGACAGTCAGCCTGGTAGGGCCTGCATGGTTAGGTGGTTTGAACGGTGTCACTTTACTGATGGGTAGACTGAGGCCCAGGGAGGGGAAGGGCTTTGCTCAGGACATAAGAGCTCAGGCCGCCTCTGGCTTAGTGCTAGGGCCTTGTTTCCTTGAGCCATCCCTGGCCGAGTTATAGCAGTGACTGCCTGTTGGCCCGAGGAGGGGGCCAGGCTTGTGTGTGGTGGTTGTGGAGGGCTCAGAGGTGCAGAGGAGGTCAGGCGCCAGGCCTTAGCTATCACGGCTTTCCTGGGGGCAGGCCACAGCCAGAGGCTTGGCATCGGGCCTGATGCTTCCAGCTTCGTCAGACAAGCCCTGAAGAATCTGTACTTCTGATGGCCTTTGGCTACTAGGAGACCCTCAGCCTCAGGAAAGTGGGGACAGTGGGTAAGGAGAAGGCAGAGACCACAGACAGAGAGGAAGAGAGATAGGGAGACAGATGAGAGAGAACAGGAATCAAGAGATACAGAGAGATGAGAAACAGAGGCAGGAGAAAAACAGGCAGGGAGAGCTTAAAGGGAAACAGAGAAAAAAAGAGAAACAGCATGGATGGCCAGAAAGAAGGAGATGAAAAAAAGTGGAAAAAGAAGACTGAGCGAGGCAGAGAGACAGCTTGACCCAGAGTGTGGCAGGGACAAGGCCTGGCCAGGGCAGGGGCCCCAAGCCTCTGTCTTCTGGCTTTAGCCACGCCCATCTGGGTGACTGAACCTGGGCTCAGCTCTGAAATTACAGGCCAGGACCTCTGCCCAGCGCTCCCAATACCCATGACCTTTCCCTGACCCTACACTAAGAGTCTCTAGGTGTCCCAGGGCAGGGGCATCCGTAGTTAGCTGGGGGGCAGGGTGAACAGCTGACGCTAGAGACCTCTCAGGATCCACCCACCCTAAAGCCCAGGGCATCCGAGAAGTGGTGCACACATAGGCAGGCTTCAGCTGGCACTTGCCGGCTTGCCCATGAGGCCAGGGAAGGCCTGCCACTTCATAAATCCTGGCACTTGACACAGGGTGGCTGCTACTGAGAAACCTGGAGTGGAGTGGGCTGTGGGACCCTCTGGCTCCTGGGAACCACAGGACCAGGCCGTAATGCCTTGGCCAGACACTTGGGGCCCATGGGATTGGGCTGAGGCTGTCACCCTGTGCCAGTCCCTCCATCCCATGTAGCCCTGATCAGGCGACTCACAGGTCCCCGCAGACACCAGGCCCACTTTCTCTGCTCTGCTGACCTGAAACATTGGTCCCTCTCCGGCACACCCACCCTGGGCTGGCTCACTCCCAGTGAGGACTAAGAACACGGAACCTAGAATGCCCCCACCAGTGTTCTGGTTCTGGCCCTGCTGCTATCTGGTTGTGTGACTGCGGGCAGGTTGCTCCTCTTTGCTAAGCCTCAGGAAATGAGTGCACACGAAGTGCCAGGCACTTCAGTCAAACCAAAGAGATGCTGCCCCTGGCCTTGCCGACTTCCCCTCTGGTGGGGGCAGGTGCAAGCTCCATCCAGGCAGGACAAACATTAGGAACAGCACATGGGAGGGGGGCGGGCTATGAGGAGGCCACTGGCTTGCAGGTTCCTCTCCTGTAAATGGAGTTAATACCAAGGTGCACCTCAGACAACTGTAGTGAGGATGACATGAGAACATGTGAGCAAAATGCCCAGCACAGTCAGGGCTCAAGAAATGCTGACTGCCTTATTATTGCTGCCAACTGTCATGGTGCCAACCTACTTCTGGCCCCAGGAATCTCAAGAATCCAGTCCTGGAACCCAGAAACATCTCCCACTCTCCCTTTGCTTACTCTGCTCCAGCCCACAGGCTTCCTTGCTTTTCTGCAGACACTCCAGGCACACTCCCACCCCAGGGCCTTTGCACTTGATGCATCCCTAGTCTGTACCAATCCTTCCTCAAATATCCTCATGCTTTCCTCCCTTCAGGGCTCTCTGTTCAAATGTCACCAGCTCAGTGAGGCCTTAACTGCCGCTTTCTCTAAAATGTCCCTAACCCCAACATTTCATTTTCCCCTTTTCTGCTATATACAGAGGGTGCCAAAAAAATGTATACACATTTTATGAAAGGAAAAAATTGTATTAAAATTGTAATACAGTGAATGATACTAGCATTCATTTGATGAACGCCATCTTTTGAGTGAACATCATACTACACATTGCTATGCAATTCAATTCAGCTTTGAAAAGTAATGCATAGATAATAGCTCTTAAAATGTGTATACATTTTTTGGACACCCCTGGTTTTTGTTCCATAGGGCTTGCCACCACTGGGCAGGTGTGGTACTTCCCTTCTATATTGGGCTTACTACAATGCCAGCCCCATTTTTCCTGTCTTGTTCACTGCTTTGCCCCCAGGATCTAGAACAGGGACTGGGACAAAGGTGCTCAATATGTATTGAGCCCAGTCGCTCATTTTATAGGTCAGGCCCAGAGAGGTCAAGGTACTTCCTCAAGGCCACCCTGGAAAGGGACAGAGGGAGACAGAGGGAGACCTACAGAAGATGGAGAAACCAGTCTGTCCAGTCCCCCCGCTTTAATCCTCACCCCTGAACCCAAAACTGTACGTCAGGAGGAGATAAGGCCTTGACTGCAGGCTTGGGGCAGCAGGAAGCTGTCTGCAGCCTCAGATCCCTGTGCGTCTATTTTTCAGAGTGAAAGGCACTTGGGGAAACCAGAATTAGAAGAAGATGCCATCATGGTGGAACCGGGAAGATGGCAGTCTCTCGGGAAGGCTTGAAATGCCCGGATAGGATTTAGTTGAATACGGGTAGGGTTTATTCGAGTGGGCAGAGCTGGACACCAAAGAAGGAGGCCTTTGAATCTCTACTCTTGGTTCCCAGGTGGTGAGTCTGAGGACCAGAGAAGTGAGGCAGCTTACTCCAGCACGCACAGGAAAGGTCGTACTATTGGGTTAACAATAGGGAGCGCCCACTGTATGCCAGGTCTTGTGCCTGCCAAAGTGGATGATCTCATCTCCTCTTCCTAAAGACAGTAAGGAATAAATCAACTTATCTTGTACCCATTCAGAGATGAGGAAGCCGAGGCTTAAGAGAGGGAAAGGGGCTTGGCCCAGGTCATACAGCTAGGTCGCCGAGTCAGGATGCCAAGCCCAGCCCGCCTGTGGAGTGCAGGAGTTAGTCTACAGGCTGGGTGTTTAGGGAAAGGGGTGAAGAAACCATGAGAGCATGGGGCAGGTGCCCAAGCCAGGTCAGAAACAAAATCACACCTAGAGCATGGAACTGCAAGTCCAGAAAGGTCTCCAGTGATCCAGAACTCAAGAGGAAAACAAATGGCCTGAGGTCTTATAGCCAGCTAAGGCAGAATTGGTATGCAAACCCAGGTGGGTCAGGGTTGGAAGCCAAAGGTGGTAGTGACCCATCCCATGCCCTCCCCAGGCTAGGGCATGCATGGTGGCTGCCCCCTGGTAACAGGAAAGATGTCAGAATGTTTGACAAACAAAGCTCGGTGTGATGGCCATGTCCAGCAGAGCGGCCTCTGGCAGCTCCCAGTCACCTGACTCGAGTTCTCAAAGGCACTTCCTTAACCACTGGGGTCATTTGGCCTTCTTGGGGCGAGGCAATGAGATTCTTGCGGCTCACCAGTAAGTCAGAGAAGGGGGTGGGGGCTGGTGCTTTTTGGAACATGGATGATAGGCACAGTGGGAAGAAGCTAGGGGCCTGAGGGCAGAATGGGAGCAAGGTTCTCTAAGTTGTGGTCTGGTCTGGGGCATATGGGGGCTCCACACCCGAGTCCTAATGGAGGGGGCTGATATGCGTACATGGGGCAGGGGCAAGGGATGAAGTCGGGGCTGCTGTGTGGGAGGAGCTTAGATGGAGGATTTGCAATGCTTTCACCAACTGGAATTCCAGAATACCTGGTGAAGGACTGACACTCCTCACTGAAAGTGTGTGTGTGTGTGTGTGTGTGTGGGGGGGGGTAAAGGAGGGGAGGGAGGAGATGGTGGTCTGAAGCCACTGAAACTAAAACTAGGATGGGGCTTTGGGGGAAGGGCGTCTGGGGCACTCGGTAGCTGGGGGCCCCTGAGTTGGGGTTCCCAGAGTGAAGGGGGTGGGGTGAGGTGCCCAGATTTGGGGGGTGAGGTCCTGTTTCCAGCCCAGGGTCCTGGTTGTGGGGTAGATGGGGCCCTAGGGTGTGAATTCCGGATCTGGGGAACCTGGGATGGGGTGTGACTTTTAGGGGGCCGGCGCAGTGCATGTAGTTGAAGAGCTGCTTCAGCTTGTACTGGGTCCTGGGGTGAGGGTCCCCTAAGTCCAGGGGGGCTCTTTGCAGCTGCGGGTGCGCCGGGGCTAGGATCCGGATTTGGGGGTTCAATGAGAGCTCTGTCTGTAGCTGGAGGAGCTGATACTGCAGTTCCTTAATGTGGGGACTATCTTTGCATCCAGAAAGCCTCGGGGCTGGGGTTCTGGCTTGGGTTTGGAAGTGGCGCTGGGATGAGGTCCCCAGACTTGGGGGCACTATTTGCAAGCAGAAGCCGAGGCTGGAGTTCTGCATCGGGGCCTGAGGCTGGGGTTCCGATCAGGGGACACCGGGGTCGCTGTCCGCAGCCCGGGCTGGTGACTGCAGGCCTGGAAGGGGGGGGAGGGAACGGACGGAGGTCCTACCTGGCGAGTAGAGCGCGGCCAGCTCACGGGCCCCGGCGTGCTGCGCGCCCCAGCGCCGGCAATACGCTGCTTCATCATCATCGAGCTCCGGCTGCTGGCCCGGCCCGTCCTCGGCGCCCGCCATGGCCACTCGCCCGGCCCGCCCGGTGCTCTCTGCTGGCAGCAGCGGCTGCGGCGCCAGGGCCGCGGAACCGCGGCGAGATCACGCCGCCCAATGACCGCCCAGCGCCGGGGGCGGTGGCGGCGCCGGCGGGGGCCTCGCCCGGCCGCGCGTCACAGCCAATCAGGGCCCGCGCCTGGCCGCACAGACCAATCAGCGGTCGCTGATCCGCAGCCAACCGCGGAGCACCGGGGGCAGGGCCGCAGCTGGGCGCAGCTGGGCGCGGAAGCGAAGGGCAGCGGAGCGTTCCTGCCTGCCCGGCTCCGCCCCTGGCCTGGGCCCTCGCTCCTGCCTCACGGAAACGCGGGCCGTGTCGCCTCCCACCTCATGCTCGGTTTACTGTCCCGTGCCATGGGCGAGGTCCTGCGCCTCCGGACCCAGAAATGGGCATTCCTTCAGCACGCACGGTCAAACGCCTACTGTGAGCAAGGGACGCGAGTGAGGGCGCCCGGCCGGGGCCAAGGAGCCGACGTTCGGTGGACACTTCGAACGGTGCTCCCTAGTCGGGGCCGGTTTACAGTGGGCCAGCTTATCGAGCCCTCCCTCGTGCAGAGGCCCTGAGGACCGTGCGTACACCTGCTGTGCGCCAGCTCGCGCCGTGCGTCCGGGGAGGAGAAACACTGAGCTTGACCCCCAGGAGCGCCTGTTCTCCCGAGGGAGAGAACAGTACACTGATGAGAATGACTCAGAGTCACGCTGTAAGATTCGGTGAGCGCTTAGTATCTGTTAGGCGCCGGGCCAGGAGCTAGACGCTGCATCTCATGTACTCTTAATGACCAGTGATGTCTCCACAGAGGTTCCTCCTGACCACCCCGCTCAAAGTTGCCCCCTCCCTCCAGTCTCTGTGACATCACCCCGTTTTGTGTTCACAGTGCTTGTCCTGGGCAATGAACTTACAGTCTGTGTCTTCCCCCACCAGAAAAAAAAAGCTCCCTAGCGCCCACACTTGCCTTGTTCACAGTAGAGGCTCGTTTCCTGAGTTAATGCTTGTTGAATGAATTAAGGCTCAGCTACATGCTTTTACTTACCCCAGCAGGTAAATAAGTGACAGGGGCAGGGTTTTACCCAGGTTTAACTGGCTACAAAGTATACAGTAACTATTCACATAAATTCCATACAATGTCACCAAATGGGAACCACCCTAGAGGTCATGGAAGGACCCAAGAGGTGCGTGCCTGAGGGGAGCAGAGAGGGGCGGTAAGATCCCTTCTAGAATGTCTT